CCCTAGAAGGAAAGGGGGAATCAGGCTGCGGGACGAAGCAATCCCCGACTGGAGAGTTGGGGCTCCCAGGGAGGAGCCGCGCGGAAGGGGGCAGCGCAGGGAGGGAGGGAGCGAGGCGGAGACCTGCGCCCGCAAGCCCTGCAGCGCCTCCGCCTCCGCTCGGCGCTCCCAGGGCCCGCCCCGCGCCGGGAGGGGGCGCCAGGCGGGCGCCTCGGCTCGGACAGCACGTCCCGCCGTCCGCCCACGGGTCTGAGCGGCTCCCGCTGAGCACCCCAGCCTCCGGCTCTGCGCGGTGGGGCGGCTTTTTCGGTTTGCAGAGAGAGGTGAAATAAGAGGCAGAACCTCGGTGAGAACTGAGGGCAGACAGACAGAAATAGAGGTAAGTCCAGATAAAGAAGCAGGGCTAGAAATGGAGAGGAGACGATGCTGGGCAAAGTCCGCCACGGACCGGACCGACTGATAGACAAACACATAGAGTAACACCCCATCCCCCCTTACCCCTGCTAGAGAGGCCCAAATAGAAAAAGACAGACAGCCAAAGCCAGGCAGACAGAGTAAGAATAACTTTGACAGGTGGGGACCTACCCCTAGAAGTTTCAAGGGGAACTGGAGACCCCCTCACCCGCTGCCCTCCACCGGGGTCTAGAAAGCCGCACCTCTTATCTGTTTTCCCCTAGCTTCTCCAGAGGAGCTGAAGTTTCAATTAGCATCCCTGTGAGCAGCAAGTGGGGCGGTGGGGGTTGCCAGGGGATGAAGTTCTGCAGATCCCACAAGCCTCCCTGCCCTCTGACTCCGGGAGCCTGAGAGTTCATACCCACCGCCTTCATTTCCAAGCTGCGGGGAGAGGCAGTTTTCTTTCACTCCTCCTTGCCAGGAAAATCCCATGTGAACACCTTAAACAGTTATTTAGATCTAATCTAAACACTTCAAAAGAGACGCCCAAGTTCAGAGGGACAGGAGAGCATTTGGGAAGGAGGAACTGGGGTGGGGGTGGGGGTGCTAGGGTGTGGAATTGGGGCCTCCTGGGGGTATTTTAGCCTCTTCTGAGTAGAGGGCAGTTCCACTCAGTGGCTCACAGAGAGCTAGTTGGAGACCCAGCTTCACAGGCTGAGTTTGGTGCATGGGTCATCCCTCTCTCTGGCCTCGGGGTCCATTTCTATCAAATGAGGTTTAGCCCAAACCGGTTTGGCTCAGTGGTAGAGTGTCGGCCTGCGGACTCAGGGGTCCCAGGTTCGATTCTGGTCAGGGGCATGTACCTTGGTTGCAGGCACATCCCCAGCAGGGGGTGTGCAGGAGGCAGCTGATCGATGTTTCTCTCTCATCAATGTTTCTAACTCTCTATCCCTCTCCCTTCCTCTCTGTAAAAAATCAATAAAATATATTTTTTTAAAAATGAGGGTTAATAAAAACAGCTGTCATGGTGCCATGCATTCTTCTCAGGGCTACAGATGCTTACTTATTTAATTTGTACAACAGCCAGAATAAGTAGGAACGATTGGTATCCTTATTTTACAGAGGAGAAAACTGGGGTACAGAGAGGTTACGTAACTTGCTCAAGGTCACACAGCTAGTATAGAGGGGAACTGGGAATCCGCCCCATGCAGGCTGGCTACAAGGTCATCATTCTGGTGCTCTAACCTTTATGGCAATGGGGCCCCTGGACAGTTCCTGAAATCATTTATGTAAGGGACTTAGTAACTGCCCCGTTATTGGTAGCTCATCGACCACTATGCCTGTTTGAAAGATGGGGATTAAAGGGCTGAGAGTGAAGCCCAGAGATAGGAGGCTTTGGGTTGGAGATAGCTGACAGGCACGTTACTGTCCTGGGTGCCAGCTCTGAATCAGCCCCCTGCACCAGCCTACACCAGGACTCTCTCTGAATCCACAATAAGCCCCTCCCATTCCCTGTTGATTCTCTAGGGCCTCCATAGCAATACACCTTTGGAAGTGAGTTAACTCTGAGGTAACAACTAGTATAAACTCTAAGGGAAATGCATTTCTGCTCTCTACAGCTGTGGGGATGACAGAACCAAACGGGGGGTGGGGGGGGTGTGGATGGGGGTCAGGAACCTTGTACTTTGGAAATGGCTGTGTTTACTTCTATCCCCTCTCTCTCCTTTCTGCAAGTCAGCAAAGGCTTGATTATTTGGAATTCCTCTCCAAAGTTTCACTTCCCAGGCTGGTTTTAGGACCGCTAAGCTCACAGTGATCAGCATTTTTAGAAATGTCAGCCTTTCAGGAACAGCATGTCAGACACTATTCGAAGCCCCTAGTGACCAGGGTATGTATGCTTTGTTGTGGCATCTGGAACTGATATAGAATGAGATAACTCAGGCCATATCCTGGGTGTGTGGGTTGGAGAGGGGATCGCCAATTTACTAACAATATAGGCAGCAGATGAAAAATAACAGCTAGCCCTTATGTCATACTTACCATGTGCCCATCTGTTCTAAGAGTGTCACATAATCTAATACATGTACTCCTCACAACAATCCATGAGGTAGATACTATTATCAACCCATTTTTCAGATGAGAAAACTGAGGCACAAACTGATGAAGAGACTTGTTCAGAGTATACAGTTAATAAGTCATTCCAAGATCAGACAGTTAGGAAGAAGCTGAACCAGGTCTGGACCCTGAATCAGTCTGCCTCCACAAACCTGTTCCTACTTCTGTGCTTTGAGGGAGAAAGCTAGAAAAGGGGTACCACATGAGCTCCTGAATAGAGATTAGAGGTACAGATTAAAAAGAGGTAGATTAAAAATATCTGCTCTGCCACTTGTTAGCTCTATGCTTACTTTGCTTCTCAGAGGCTCAATTTCTTCACTTGTAAAATGAGAATAATAATGTCTGTGTCATATTCAGGGTTTCAGTGATAATTCTTTTGGTTGCAGTTAACATAAACCCAGTTATAACCAGCTTCAGCCAAAAAGGATTCTGAACTGAAAAATTTAGGAAGTAGTTTGGGGTTCAGACATTGTCCATGCCAGAAGCTCAAAGGAAGTTGTCATGAATCTGTTTTTCTCTTTACTGTTTTCCTTTGTGTCAGTTTTATTAGCAGGATGGGTCTTTCCACAGGAAGGCAGAAATGGCCAATTAAGCAACCTCAAGACAAAGACATCACTTCCTTCCCAATACTTCCAGCAAAAATCTCAGGGTTGACTCCCATTGGCTTGGCTTGGGTCACATGTTCAGCTCTGAATCCATCACAGTTGCTCCGATTGGCCAAGCGCGAGTCACATGCCTATGATTAGAGTTGGTCTGTCCTAAGTCACAAGAACTAGGAGTTGGTGAAAGATCGTTCCCTAAAAGAAAGTCAGGGTGCTATTAGCAGAGTAATGGGGCATTGGTGCTGGAGAGGTACAGATATCCGATTCCTCATGGAGCCGTTGTTAGTATTAAATACATTTGTATGTGCAAAGTGCTCGACTCTGATAGCCACTGAGACCCTTCCTTCTTCCCTCTCCCCTAGGAAACAGGATTAATGGCTCACCAAATCCAAGCCAACTGCTTCCTTGTTCATAGGGGGAAACTACGTTCCAGAGAGGGGAAGGGACTTGCCACAGAACCCAGCGGATCAGCTATAGAACCCATGTCTCCTGACCGGAAACAAATCCCAGTTAAAGTCTTAGCTGAGAAATTTTAGGTCTCCCACTAACCATGGGAATTTTCTTTGCATGTTGTACAGGCGAAACTGGAAAAACACAAAGCACTTAAGACCCGCAGGAAGTAAATGCCACTGTGATGGGCTCCCAGACTGTGCCACAAGCTCTGGACTGGTAGATCTGGGCAGGCTGCCCCATCCAGCTCCCCACCCATCACATTATGAATCCAGCCATTTCCTCTGGGACTCCGCACTCTGGGTGCTAAGATCCAAGTGGTCGTTTTTCATGTAGTTGCCCAAAGTAGGCA